CCTTTTGAAAAAGCAATGTAATACACTGTAAAGTTATATGTAATCCAATGTAATATAAAGAAGATTATGACGATAATAAAAAAAAAAAGAAAAAAGAAAAACGCCGGGCGCGTGTGCGTGCGTGCCCAAGATCCCAAGAAGAGAATAGAAGAGAAGGGATTGTGGCGTGGCCATCCCCCCTGGGGGGTGATTTCTCGCTTTCTGTCTCTCTGTCTCTCTCTGTCTGGCTGGCAAGCGCATGTGTCCTATAGCAAAAAACTCTCAAAAAAAAAAAAAAGAATTTAGCACCCTTAGGGCCAGATGGTGGCGAGGTGGTTAAGGGTGCTAAACTGGTTTGAGTCTCAGACCCGGCAACTTGCTTTCTTACTTTCTCTCTCTCTCTCTCTGTCCCTCTCTGGTCAAATTAAATAAATAAAGATAAATAAGATAAGTCTATTTAAAAAGAAAAAACAATTTAGCATCCTTGTGGGGGAACCAAAATCCTTGAGTGATCAGCTCTTATTTTGCATTTACTGGATGGGCCTGTTCTTAATTATTGTACTTGAGATTACCTATAGGGCTGCTAGTCATTCTAAGAGAAGGAAATCAAACACCACCATCCCTTTTTTAGACATACCCCATTTGGCTCCCTTAAGGCTCCCAGTTGCTTGGAATACCTACCTGCAGAGAGAAGCAAGTGCCCTTTATCTTAGGGGCTGAGAGGCTCAGCCTCTCATTTGCCTATGAATAGGACAGTTCCTTTTCTCCAGTGCAAATGCACAGCAGCCAATTGAAGTTTCAGAGGAGGAAGACTCTTTAGAATGCATCCTCAAGCATTAGGTTTCCTAACTCAATTACCTCTCCCTTAGAGAAGAGCAAAACGCTACCCTTTCACCTGAATGAGAGCAAGCCACTACCCCTTGCTTGGAGGGGAGAAAATTTGGGTTACCCAGAAACAAACAAAACAAACAAACAAACAGCTTAGAAATAAACCAGACCATCTACCAAATTTTTGGGTGGTCCAGAGTTAGAGAACTTACCAAATCTCCCCTGAAGAGAGGCTTGGGGCCAGAGAGGGCACAAAGGGCCCACTGTGCTAGTACCAGGCACCAGATTCAAAGCAACCTCATGGAAAATCTCCCCTTTGTCTCTGGTCCCTTCGTGGTTGCCATTATTGTCAATGGGAATAACCAACTCTGTAAAAACAATAATGTGTCTTTTTAAGAGCAATTTTTGCTATAGGGTGTGTGCATTCATTGGAGAGACAGAAAGAGAAAGTGAGAAATCATCCCCCCAAGGGGGATGACCACACTGCCATTCTCCTCGTAGGATTTTGGGCACACACACACACACACACACACGCCCAGTCTGTGTGAAGCCGCCAGGTCCAGGACTCGAACCATATTCAACCATGTGGAACTCCAGCAATGTAACCATTACACCATCTGCAGGTCCCAATGTGGTTTATTTCTAAGCATGAATATGAGTGACCTAGGCCTAGATAAGAGGCAAAACTATGCCTTTCTCAGGGTGATCAGGTACAGGGGTTCTTTTTATTTGATTGTGAGAGCAAGAGATAAAGTTCAGAATTCAGTGAAGAGTTTTTCCATTGGTCTAGCCCAAAAAAGTGAGACATGTAGAAGTGGGAGCTCCTAGGTTATAGGTGGGTTTTACAGTTTTTAGGGTGGTGATTGGAAAAGAAGGTTGCTGAGATCAGAAAAGAATGTACTATAACAGAGATAAGGAGGCTTAATATACATCATGAAGATACTATGCCAGGGATAGGATGTAGGAAGACTCCTGTTATCAATGTGTCAAAATGGTCTGTTAATGTCTGTGAGTGTGACTCCTTCCAGGCCCTCTGGAAAGGATTCTGGAAATAGTAAAAAGCACTCAGACTTCTATCCTCACATATTATCTTTAGTCTGACAATTACAATACCCCCCCCTTTATTTATGGGTAGCTATGTTCCAAGACCCCCAGCTGATGCCTGAAACCTTGGATAACCTGAAACCACTAATAATCCAGATGGCTACTAAGTGACTAAAGAGTTTGTGTGGGTGGTAGCATATACAGTGTGGATACTCTGGACACAGGGATGATATACATCTTGGGTAGAACAGAATGGGACAATGCAAGATTTCATCACACCACTTAGAACAGAGCACAATTTAAAACTATGAAATGCTTATTTCTGTAATTTTCCATTTGATATTTTTGTGTCAGTTGACTGTGGATAACTGAAACTGCAGAAAGGAAAACTGGATAAGGGAGGACTGCCTAGTTTCCAGGTCTCCTCAATATGCACTATCTTCTTTGTATTCTTGACCAAGGCTAACCCTGAAAGTTTAGTTTCCTAGAGTTACTAGAGGTGCCAGACAAGCCAAATAGGTAATTTACCAGAGCTTCACGTCCTCCTCAGCTTCAAAATTAGGGGTGGGGGGGAACCAGCAGTTAGCGTAATGGCTATGTCGTTGGACTCCCACGTAGTCGACCGCAGTTCGTGTCCCGGACCCGGTGGCTTAAAACTCACGCCGGGCACGTGTGCGTGCGGGCCCAAGATCCCGAGAGGAGAATGGAGGAGAAGGGATTGCGGCGTGACCATCCCCCCTGGGGGGTGATTTCTCGCTTTCTGTCT